ACGCATGGCAGTGGGCTTTTTTTCCCCCAATTTTCCAGGAGGATCGCCGCGAAGGGGATGAGGGAGGCATGAATGAGAGATGAAAATCTCGGGGCGTGTCCTCCAAGGACTCGGACAATGGCGAGGCGCGTGGGGATCAGCTGTGCGAAGAGACACCGCTAAGACGGACGTGTCCCTTTCATTCTCTTGTTTTTTTTTGTTTTGTCCGATCGGTCGCCTCGGAAGCGCGTTGGTATATATACACCGACGGGGTCACCGTACCGTTTCGAGTCCCCCCATTGACCGATCTCGTCTGGACCACTTCCTTCTCCCGCTCATTGTCAACGGGAATACGTCTCACCCGCTCCGTTGTTTCACCATTTCTGCGGAAATATTTTACACTCGCATCAAAGGAAACACCTATATACCCACCGGTCACGCATCCCTTCGGCGCTTGATCCCCTCTAATTGCTCCATTGATTTTGGCAGCTAAACACATACGGCATCAATGACACGCGCACTTAAAAACGCGCACCTATGCCATATCCACGCAAGACATCAAAGATCAGTGTACATTGGAAGGAATGTCCAAGGGCTTAGACTCTGCATTGTATACCGTACAGGAGCAAAAGACGCCCCGCTAGGGCCTCACATCTTTGTACCGCAGGTATATACAAATACGTACAGGTAGGTTGTGTATAGGCCTATACAATACAATACACATAGTATGTATTATACATACAAAGTTGAGCGCTTTGCAGCAGTATATGTATATGCAGGGCTCAATGGAGGCGATAGAGCGCGGATAGGGGCCCAGATATCTACTGTTGTCGAGGTAAATCGGCAGATTGTCGATGCCGGAGCACTGTCCCCTCCCCCAACTTTTTTTTTTTTTTTTTTTTTTTTTTTTTTTTTTTTTTTCACGGCACGCACGTTAGACATATCTGTTTGTTGGGGCTTCACTCCCACGATCTTCCCGATTCTTTCCGTCCCAATATGTTGAACTAAAAATGTTTCCTGCATCTCGCTGTAAGTGTGTGTATATCTATGCCTACGTGCATCAACAAACGGAAGGAGAAGAGGAGGGAGCGTATGTCTAAGGACGAAGCGGCTGTCGCGAGTCAATGATCACGCGTCCCACGGCTCATTTGGCCGATGAACGGGAGCGCGTCCGCACGGCCGCATAATCGTGGATTATCTACCCCCCCCCCCCCCATTACACGTGTAATGTAAGGAAGATCAGAGAAGCGGCAAAATGAAGAGCGCGATTGTGCGTGCGACGAGAGAGACCGAATTGTGGCGGTGGTATAATCTGCCGCGGGGATTGTCCACGCATGCTCCCGGTGGATCCCTCCCGCTGCGAACGACTCCGTCCCCCCCGAGTGTCTGTGTATACACAATACGTCGGGCGCACGCTCGCTTTCAACATTATTCGACGACCGGTATATAGGTACTGTCCTTTCTGGGGTTTGTTCAGTTTACCGCTCTTTTGTGCATCCACCCCGACACCTCGGACATTGGGTAAATTGGGGTACTACCAGCGTCATTTGTTCCTTGAAAATTTGGAAAATTAACTTTGTTTACTCTCGCTTCGTGTGAAATATATTGGCTGATACAAGCCTTAAATTATATAACTAGAATTAAAAAAAAAGGAAAAAAAGCAACAAAATCTTGTAATTTCGGTGTGTCTCGGTCATGCGGGACAAATTTTGTAAAACGAGTTGGACTAGATTTTTGTCATTGGGAAAAATTTCTAAATATTTTGCTCACTCGCGTTGATTGACGCTGCCTCACTGGCCCCTGTGGTGTCATTTTTGTCCCGCCACACCTCGTTTTATCTCAGGTGTTACACGACACGCGGTACTAGTTCCGAAAGAAGCAAATCGATCGGAAAATCGAGAGAATCGAGGAGCCATCGTACATGCGACCAACACAAAAAGTGAAAGTAAGTAAAAAAAAAAAAAACACGCCGGCGCGTGAAGGAAATAAAGCCATAAAAAAAGAAGAAAAAAAAAATGTGTATCGGTGGCGTTGAGTCTCGAGTTAACACATCATTGTTGGGAGGCGTGACGGAGAGCGAGAAACATCACCCGGCGAAAGAGAGAAGAAGAGAGCCTCTCGGTCGTAATCTGTCGTCACCCGCGGCGCGTCAGATCGGCCCGATCCTCTCTCGGCTTCGTGCTCATCTTCTCGAAACGCTTCTTAACCCCCCCTCCCCCCCAATATATGTATACCCAGTAAGTATAGCTCGGTAGCAAGACCATTATGCGATCGTTTGGAGAAATCACGACCGGGAAGCCGACCTGTGTGTATTGTGTGACGCACTCTTCCGAGCTGTATATACGTATATGTATGTATTCACGGCTCCGTGTCCTTTTTTTCGGACAAACGCCTCGCTTCGAACGACCCCAATCATTGATTTTCGTCCGCTTTGGCCAACTATTTTCTTCTTTTTCTCTTGAGTTTATCAGTAATTTAATTAGTTGCGCTAACGAGCCCGACAAAACCCCAATGTTGTACAGCCTTCCCGATTTGCGTAAAAAAATAAAGCGAAAACTACGCATATGTATACATAGACTCTCGAACCATACGGAACAGCCCCTTCCGGAACGTCGCCTCCGATGGCTCGACAAATACAATCGCATAGAGGGAAAAAAAAAACTACGAAGCCCGGGTGCCCGAACGAAAAAAAAAAAAAAAAAAGAAGAAGCACCGGGGCGTAAGCTCCTCAAAGATCGTCCCTCTTTAGGATAAACAGGGGTTCGCGGGATCCGGATTATCGCCGGGGAGTATAACTTACTTGCGGCTCACCGCCAGCCGTCAGGTATCCAGGTCCGGCTCGATTGTTTCGGGGAAAAAATTCCACCGACTCGGGCAAAGTCTCCCTCACTTACATCGATCGATCGGACGCCAACGCACAGGCGGACCATTATATTTACGACCGAGCATCCGCAGGTGTGGACACGGTGTGTTTACCTATACCTACTTACAGAGATAAGAGCGAGAGAGGTGGCAGTAAACCCCCCTCGTCCCTCGATACACTCGCTCGAGCCGTCATTCACCTGCTTCACCTGTTATTTCGAGAGGTAAAAAAAAAAAGGCCTTGGAAATCTCAATGCGCTTTGCAAACAAACGAGGAACCGATGCCGGGAGGCTTGTGTGTACACGCACACGTATACAATGCACTTGCCCTCGCGCGTGCATATTATATGGATACACTTATACCTCACACCTATACAGTATACACCACACGAGATCCTACATAGGGATCGTTTTACTTTCTCTCGCTCGGGAGGGTCCTACGAATAATTTGCTTACACAGGCCCGGGTATACAAATCGAGGAGTCTGCGCCCCCCTTTCTCCCCCCCCCCTCTCTCTCGCTCTTATTCGCATTATAGGCTGCAGTGTACCTGTGCATATATCATACAGCGAAATCTCACGATGTAGGGTGGTACAGACCCAAAAGCCTATAGACACTCTTTAACAACACTCGAAGGCGCGATGTGAGGCACTTTTATCGGTACCATTATATATAGGCCCCCGAACAGACAGGTTGCTGATGGATTATCTCCGCCGCGTGTCTTTATGGGCGTGGAGTATGTTTTCGTTTGTGCACATAACATATAGGATATAATATATATATATA